CTCTCGGCTGAAGTTTCACTAGTTTTGGGAAATTCCCCTCTTAGGGTTACAGCCGAAAACAATAAAGCTACTTATAGCCAACTTCCCTTCACAAGCTACGTGGGAAATAAAACAGCAACAATAACAAAATGGTCCTTAATAAAAGTAAAGAGTACAGAAGAGGACTCCAACATACCACATCGGCCACAGTTTTGTTGCGACACTTGGGAACGTATATATATTGGCCGTCTCTCCTTCATGATGTAGATGGTACAAAAATAACTGAGTACGGCAGGAAGCATGTTTGGGCTGGGCCTCGAGTAAATAAGTCACCAAAACAGGTGGGCCCTGTATAATTTGGGTCCCCAATTTTTTCCCTTGGCTGATACTCCTTCGGGATACAGAACGAGCAATGTTTGGATGCATTTAAAAAAAGATAACCAGCCTTTGATCCAGGTGGTCCAACCGAACACAACCCGGTTGCCCACAGGTCACAGGATAACCAGCCTTTGATCCAACCATGAACTTGTGAGACCGCTTCTCTATATTTTCAGTTAAGAGAAACCTTCTTAGGGTTACTTTGACAGTTCGAATCTGAACCACCGCCTTGTAGGTCCGATTCCCGCTCCAGACCACATTGGTCAGGACAGTCCTGACCGATCGACGCCTCACTAGAGGACCGAGATTGATGATTAGTTGACGTTCGAGATGAAGGCCCGGCCCAGAGTCGTGAGGACATGAGAACTCCGACAATCGGGCCACTACGAACATCGACCTAACAGTGCTTGTGTCGTACCCGTGGTAGCACATGAAAAGCAGGTAGTCGGCAACGGTCGTCTCGTACACGAGCACCGGGTTGAGCGATCCCCTTGGGTTCAACTCCCCTGCTCCCATATCGTAGTTGGTGGCCTCATCTCGGGTGTTGCTTGTAATCAGCGTTCCCACATTGTCGTTAGAAAAAGCTTGAATAATATCGAAATAAAAAGATAAGTAGCTCGAGAAATAATAAATAAAAAAAACTGTTTCAACTTTTGAGAATTCATTGCAAAGTTATCCATCCATTTCATACGCATACCATAAGGCGTTTTGTGTTCTACCTGTGGCCGTGGTCATGTTCGCGGATTTGATGGCCTACTATTATTAGTAAACGTATTTTTTTTTCATTAGACTACAACTCATTTTTTCTTGTGTTTTAAAAACACAAGTCTTTGGCGATTTCGTTTGTCATATCAGCACGTAACGGACTTCATTAACAGAGTTGGACGGAAACTAACGACGATTGACCAAACGTGAACCGTTTTAGGGACCGATTACTATGACAACACCTCTTTTGTTGTTATTGTAACAACACTAGTCTCCAACCAATAGGAAGCTAGGGTTGTGATGACTTTTTATTAGATGAGTTGACCTAGTGTAAAATCAAAGCAGGGGTATAATTGTCATTATGAAAAATCTATTTAAATAATAATAAAAAATAAAAAAATGTTTTTTATTTTTGGCCCAAAATTTCGGTCGCCAGAATCTGGTCGCCGGTCATCGGAATATGCTTTTTTGTCGCCGGAATATGCTATTTTGTCATCGGAATATGTCACTGTCGCCAGAATATGCTACCCGTGGTCGGAATATGCTTACCGGCGTCGGAATCTAGTCATCGGGGCCGGAATATGCCTATCGGCTCCGGAATCTACTTACTGACGGTCATCGGAGTTTGGTCAACGGGTTTCATTGACCGGTCAACGGTCTTCTTTGACCGGTCAACGGCCAACGACCACCGGATGTTATGGTCTGCATTGTGAGATTTATGGTTTGGTTTCTCATATTTTTGTATGCCTTTTGTGGTTTGCTTTATCGTGTTTGTGGTTTGCATTAAGAAGTTTTTGGTTTACTTTATCGTGTTTGTGGTTTGCATTGAGAAGTTTATGGTTTGCTTTCAAAAACTTTGTGGTTTGCATTGTGAGGTTTCTGGTTTGTTTTAATATATTTGTGGTTTGCATGGGGACGTTTATGGTTTGCTTTTTTGTGGTTTGATTTACTGTGTTTGTGGTATGCATTAGGAGGTTTCTGGTGTGCTTTCGCAAATGTTGTGGTTTGCTTTGTGAGGTTTGTGGTTTGTTTTAGGAGATTTGTGGTATGCATTAGGAGGTTTATGGTTTGCATTAAGAAGTTTCTGGTGTGCTTTCGAAACTTTTGTGGTTTGCTTTGCGGGGTTTCTGGTTTGTTTTAATATATTTGTGGTATGCATTAGGACGTTTTTTGTTTTTTTGTTGTGGTTTGCTTTACCGTGTTTGTGGTTTGCATAAGGATGTTTCTAGTGTGCTTTTCGAAATATTTGTGGTTTGCTTTGTGAGGATTTTGGTTTGTTTTAGGGGATTTGTGGTATGCATTGGGAGGTTTCTAGTATGCTTTTTTGTGGTTTGTTTTACCGTAATTGTGGTTTGTATTATGAAGTTTCTGGTGTGCTTTAGAAATATTTCTGGTTTGTTTTGTGGTGTTTATGGTATGTTTTAGGCAATTAATGGTCTGCATTAGGAGGCTTTTGGTATGCTTTCGAAATAATTGTGGTATGCTTTGTGGTATTTCTGGTATGCTTGTTTGATTTTTGCATGAGTGACATTTGTTTGTAAGTGTAAAGATGTCATGAACCTTCTTGTATGGAAGAAATTGCACTATAGTTTCCTTTAAACCGGCCGCCAATCGCCATCCCACTATATAGCAAATACTAATACAAGTGATCAAGAATGAAAACAGGTGACACAAACTTTAGTTTCCAAATCAAAAGATGGCATTTAACGAATTAACTATGTGTAAGTTGATTAGTATCCGGTTGATTAGTACTTCTAACAACCGCCACCCTGCCAAATCCCGCCACCAGCCGAAATAGAGCGCCACCCACCACAACAGCGCCTCAGTTATATAAGCTTTTACAGTCCAGTTTCTCACCAGCAATGGAAAATCCTTTCTCGCCACCGGCCAAGAACAACAACCATCACAACGTACTCAAGTTCCTCAAAGCAGCTTCTTCAATCAACTTACACAACCCACCTTTCAGCCCGACCCGAGACGCTAACCACCACAACAACAATAAACAGCAGCAGCCCTTCTCCGACTACAAAATACCAAACTACCAGGGGAATTAAAGAGGATTCTCCGGCCCTATTTTCCTGTCGAGGGTTCCCCGAGAAGTGCGCGACCGGTTCAAGTCTGGGAAGGCGGCAAAAGAGCCGACGTCACCAAAGATCTCTTGCATCGGGAAAATCAAGCACAAGAAGTGCATCGGTAAGAAGACCACCGCGGTCATTCCCAAGCCGACAACGAAAGAGAAGAAACGTAGCAAGAAGTCTACGGCGACGAAGGAGATGAAAACCCCGAAGACGACGCAAGCCGGGTCGCCCGGGATCTGGAAGATATTCGGATCCGGGTCTTTTGAATTGGGCCCGTCGTCGGCTCCAGGGAGGAAGAGGAGATTGAACAACACTTCCGCCGCCGACAATTTATTTGTCTCGACGATCTGGGCGGGGAAAGAGGGACGGGGTGGGTGGGCTAAATTAATTTAATTATTATTTTATTGGATTTTAGGTAAATTTATCCTTATACCCTTACTGAATCATGTTGTTAGTATAGAGAAATTCTTAGGTGCACCGGGTGTACCACGTCACCCGTGCACCGTCCCAATAAGAAATTAACGCGTGTCCATGGTAAAAAAAAATATTAAAAAACATAAGACACCCTGCGCTCATCTTCTCTTCCCTTCCTCCTTCGTCTTCACTGCGCCCCCTGTCCTTTCTCCGTAAAAAAAATTGGTGTTTTCAGGTCTCTCTCTCTCTCTCTCTCTCTCATCTTCTAAGCTTTCATGTCAAGAGAAAAAGTGAATTCGCAGAGGGAATGAGCTTAAGGAGAGTGGGTACTTTTAAATTTGCATCTTTTCCTAAGTGGTATCCAGAGGACACGTTGAGCATGTCCTTCGCCACCGTCGACGTCCTCCGCCACCTCAATGCTCTTCTGCTCTTTGACCCGCCAAGCATGTCCTTCTCCAAACCTTAATCTGAACCCGACCCACCTAGCTCCGAGTCCCAAAATCCCAATCTTGGCCACTAAAATCTCCGACGACAAAAACAACTCCTTCGACGAGAAACTCAAGAGTTCCCCGACCTCACCGTCGCTACCGCTTTCCCAACCCGAGACGAAATTATTTGAGGTCCCAATCCCATCCGCGTTATATGAAGAAGCTCGGATGCCTCTATTATAGCTTTTATTGCTGATTTCATTTTTGGGGAGGGTTTTTATCGTCGGTGGGAATTAGAATCCGAGGACTTGACGGCGCGTCGATTTCACCTCACAAAAATGTGGTTGCCGTTTGACCTCTTTAAATCTTATGCACGTGTCAATTTTTGATTGGGACGGTGCACGGGTGACGTGGTACACCCGGTGCACCTAAGAATTTCTCTGTTAGTATAACAACACTATCCACTCCCACCGTTTTACTTATTCAATTGACTAACATAACATGACACTTTTTATTAAACTTACTGATAAATTAAATTAAAAAAACAAAACAAAACAAAACAAATCAAAACTGAAAAAACGAAAAACTCCTCTCTCCGGTCTCCGCAAAGTCGACCACAAACAAGTCAACAATCCCTCCCAACAACCGTCTCCCGAAACGACCCTCCATTTCCATCTCCAGCCATCCCATACTCCGATCTCGTACTCCACACTCCGCCGCCAACGTCGGCGGCTTCGATTCAGACGACGGGAAGTCGAATTTCAGGTCGGTGAATCCTGAGTCGTCGATGGTGGTAGTGAATTGCCTTTTCACAAGCGAGATGGAGGGAAGAGGTGAATTTCGGAATCCCGGCCGTCGAGGCGTGCTAAGAGTTCAATGCCTTTCGCCGAGCTTTTGACTACGGGGAAGGATTTCACCAGATCGATCCCTCAAGCGCAGATCTGATTTCTCACTCTACATTTGCTCTTGCTCAAGCTACCCCAGTTCTCGTTTTCATTTTCACTTAGATTTCCCTGAGATGGCTGCAGAAACCATTCTGATCCCAGTTGCCAAACAAGTCCTTTCCAAGGCATCCGACTTGGCCTTGGAGCAGATTGGGCTCCTCCGCAGTTTCAAACCAGAGCTCCGAAAGCTGAAGGACACCGTCTCCACAATCCAGGCGGTGCTCCATGACGCACAAGAGAAGCAGTTCCACAATCGTCAAGTTAGAGATTGGCTCGAGAAGCTCTCCGACGTCATGTACGATGCCGACGACATACTTGATGATCTCGCTACCGAGGCTCGCCGGAAGGCCGTGCTAGCAACAACAGATGAGGATGATGATGGCAGAGGAACGACGAAGTCAACTACTACTACCTGTTGGAGTTTGGTATGCTTCCTGTTCTCCTCACTTCCCAAAGAATTATTGTATGAACTGGAGATGGCTCGTGCCATCAAGGCTATTAGGGAGAAGCTTGATGCTATATCCAAAGACAAGGAGACCTTGCATCTGGAAGTTCACACTACCGAGGCTGAAGCTTTTCTTTCCAGGGAGACTGATTCCTGCCCACCAACAATTGTGGTTGGGAGGGAAGATGACAAGCAGAATATCATCAAGCTACTGCTGAGTTCCAATCATGAAGCCACCATTTCGGTCGTGACCATTGTTGGGATGGGTGGATTAGGGAAGACCACTCTTGCTCAACTTGTATTTGATGACGATCAAGTCAATGATCACTTTGATATCAAAGCTTGGGTATATGTTTCTCAGAGATTTGATGTCAAAGTGATTCTCAGAAAGATGCTGCGATCGATAGATTGTCGAATTGAGGCGGATTCTGAGTTGGACGACTTGCAAGCTAAATTTCGTGAAAAAATCAAAGGCAGGAGGTTTCTGTTTGTATTAGATGATGTTTGGGAGGAGAGCAACCCAAATTGGGAGACTTTGGGGAAGTATTTGACAAAGGGTGAGCCTGGAAGCAAAGTGCTGGTGACTACTCGATCCACTAAAGTGGCGGAGGTCAGTGGTGGAGCTCTAAGGTCGGAAGCATGTACAAGCATAGTAGAGCCTTATCACTTGAAAGGATTGTCAGAGGAAGAGTCTTGGAATCTATTGGTGAGAAAAGCTCTCCCCAGAGAAGTCCTGCGAGACCCACAAGTACAAGAAATTGGTAAGCAAATATTGGAGAAATGTGATGGAGTTCCTCTCGCTGTGAGCGCCATAGCCAGCGTGTTAGCAGATTCAAAAGATCCAAAGACCGAGTGGCCGTCTTTTCTACAAAAGGGACTTTCGAGCATTTTGAAAGGAGAAGAAGATCCTATTATGTCAGTGCTGCTACTCAGCTTCAACCATCTCCCTTCCTATATGAAAAACTGCTTTATTTACTGTAAGCTGTTTCCGAAGGGTTATGAATTCGACATTAAGATGTTGGTTCAGTTTTGGGTGATACACAAGTACATTGAGACGGAAGATGAAGGCTTTGACTGTTTCAAAACGTTGTGGGGGAGATCATTCTTCCAGGAGGTGGTTATGGATGATTTGGGAAACATGTCCACATGCAGAATGCATGATCTGATGCACGACTTAGTTGATTCAATGGGCGGAGAAAAGATCATGAGAAGTTCTGATTCGATTTGTCTCGAAAATATATCCTTGACAACTTGTCACCTGGCAATAACTGGTGACCGTAATGATGGCTCGAGAGAAGATTATTATGGTGATCATGAACCAGGGAATCCATGCAAGGTACGGACTCTCATATGTTTGAAAAATCTTTCAAACAAAGAACTCAAGCAAATCTGTAGAAACTTTTTACGTTTGCGAGTACTGGTGATCATTGAAGGTTCGAACTCAGAATGTAATGCTTCGTCCTTGGATGCTTCATTGATATTGAGTTCTGTTCATAAGTTGAAGCATCTGAGATATCTTGGTCTTGGTGGTTCTGGTGGGGAAAAGATCCCAAACTCGGTTGCTACATTAGTTAACATGCAAGTGCTTAAACTCGTCGATTTCTGGAGACTAAAAGAACTGCCAAGGGACATTAAGACACTTGTTAATTTGAAGCATCTTGAGCTCGATTCAGAGTATGTGGTGTTGAACCATGTTCCAAAAGGGATTGGGGAGTTGAAGTTTCTGCAAACGCTATCCACTTTTGTAGTTGGGAAGACGGTAGGGGCCGGGTTGGATGAGTTGAAAGGATTGAATGCATTGAGTGGAAAGTTGACCATCGAAGGCTTGGCTCATGCGAACACTCCGAGAGAAGGTGTTTATGTGTTGAAAGAGAAGTTGTATCTTCAGTCACTTGTTTTAGATTGGGGCCGAGATTGTGACAGAGATGTTGATGGTGTTACTCTCTTGTCCACTCGGGATGAGGGGATGTTGGAAATGCTATGGCCACACTCTAACTTGAAAAGCTTGATGATACGTGGTGGTGGTGTTTACCAAGGTGCGAAGCTTCCCAACTGGTTGTCTGGCCTCACAAGTTTGGTTGAGTTCTCATTGATAGACTGCAAGCGATTCGAGTACCTGCCGCAACTGCATCAAATGTTTAGTTTGATTAAGCTTACAATTCAAAATTGTCCACTATTGAAGGGCATCAGTCATGATGGTGATGGTGGTGTTTACCAAGGCGCGAAGCTTCCCAACTGGTTGTCTGGCCTCGCAAATTTGGTTGAGTTCTCATGGATAGATTGCAAGCGATGCGAGTACCTGCCGCAACTGCATCAAATGTCTAGTTTGAAGAAGCTTACAATTAAAAAATGTCCACTACTAAAGGACATCAGTCATGATGGTGGTAGTGGTGTTTACCAAAGCGCGAAGCTTCCCAGCTGGTTGTCTGGCCTTGCAAATTTGGTTGAGTTCTCATTGATAGACTGCAAGCGATGCGAGTACATGCCGCAACTGCATCAAATGTCTAGTTTGAAGAAGCTTACAATTCAAAATTGTCCACTATTGAAGGGCATCAGTCATGATGGTTATCATGGTGATTATAATTCTATGGAAAACTCGGCAACAAAGGAAGAGGATGACAATTGGCCTCGGTTTCATTGTCTTTCTAGCTTATGCATTAAGGGTTGCCCAATGCTAACTCGGCTCCCCACTTTCCCTACCCTTGAAGGTGAGTTGCAGTTGGACAATGTGAGCTTGGCACCATTTGCTAGGACCATAAAGATGAAGATGAGAAGAGGAGGTGTCGATTATTTGGAAGGATATTCATATGATGATACAAATATCCATCCTCTTCTTCCTCCTCCTTCTGCTTCTTCTTCTTCAGCATTGATTCACCCCCTATCGAACCTGACCAAGCTCGCCTTATCTGATATGGACGATGATCTCGAATCGCTATCCCATCATGATTTCAAAAACTGTCTCATCTCTATTCAGGACCTGACCATTGAGCAGTGTGGTCGAGGCGTGAAGCTACCTGGTTCATTGTGTTCCAGCATATACCTAATAGATATTGCTCTATTCCGTTGCAAAATGGTAGAGTACCTCCCACCTCTACATGAACTGCCATCTTTGAAGATGCTAACTATCGCTGATTGTCCGAATCTGAAGGGATGCTGGTGGAAGAAGCAGCAGGGGAATAACGACGAGAGCAGTTACCATGATTACTATAACTTTGATCCTTCAATGGAAGAGGAGGAAGTGGTAAAGGAAGGCGAGGAGGCGACGGAGGAGGATTGGCCTCATTTCCTCCGTCTCTCCTACTTGAGTATCCGCTGCTGCCCAAAGCTAACCCGGATACCTCTGTTTCCAACTCTTGAAGGTGGGTTGTTACTGGAAAAAACCAGCGGTCAGGCACTAGTGCGGACAATGAAGATGAAAGCAGTAGTGGTTGCAGCTGTTCCTCATCATCATGTGGATTCTCAACAGCATTCTGCTACTACAGCTACCACCACCACCACATCTCCCTCTTCTTCTTTGAGGACTGCCCTTGTCGCTCCGCTATCCAAGTTGAAGGAAATGATCATTGCCGGCATCGATGACTTGGAATCCCTACCAGAAGAAGGCATCTGCAACCTCACTTCTCTCCAAGAGTTTGTGATATGGGAATGTCCTAGATTAGCATCTCTACCTCCAGCGATGCGACACCTCACCTCTTTACCATCATTACGTGTTAATGATTGTGAAAAGTTAACAGAGAGATGCAAGGAGGAAGATTGGCCAAACATTTCTCACATCCCATACATACTACTCAACTACAAGGAACTCCAAAATTTAGGTACAGAGGTTTTTCTTTTTAGCTCTGCTATTTACTATGCAATTCAATCCTTGCTGACAAAGTTGAGTTTTTTTCCCCCCAGCTGCATGGACCGAAGGGCAACGATGATCGAGGCAGCACGTTGCTATGCACTTCCACTATTGTAGCAGAGGCTAAGGTTCTTCTAGCAGCTCTATACAGTGCCAAGGCTTCAGATCTACGCACGTTGAACCTCACCGCATGAATGAGTCTAATTAAGGCTCTCTGAGGCAAGGCAACCTCCACCAGGATTGGATTCATATTCTCGATTTCATCTCCTCAATCGCTATTGGATTCATATTCTCGACGACAGACATTAATTGAAGATTCGGAGTATCCATCGGTTGAAAGGGTTTTGTACTTTGCTTTCAGTGGAAAGCATGCCCGATTGGGTTGCGTTAGATATACTTGAATATGGAGGGTTATGCATGAACGTCAACAATACGCACTTCACAAACTCTCCCACTAATTCTTGATTGAACAATGAGACCAAAGGATCAAGTTAAATACGAACCCGATTACGATTTATCTCTAATATATATCAACCATTTTATCCGTGGAGAACTTTTGGCCATCATAGTGAAAATTAAAATGAATAGATGTTCCTTAAATCATATTGAGAATCGATTCTTAAACTTACACGAGGAATTTTACAATGCTATGCTATATAGTATTGGTATTATATGTTTTTGTCTTTATGGTACAACTTGAAATTGTGCCTTTAACATTATGGTACAACTTCAGATTGTATCTATACTTTTTGTACTAAAATATTATTGAGTTAATGATTTGTGAGACACAAACATTTACTATCCTAATATACATATATATATAGTTAAAGTGATAAAAGGGAGTTACTGTAGCATAAGAGTTTTGCTAACGTATGCAATGGTGACTTTCCTTTGCTAACTGCCATGAAGATTATGAGTGATGAATTATCCTCATGCCGCTCGATGGTAAATCATGAAATTAGGCTTTGACACAGTGTTATTAAAGCCGAGTCGCACGGTCCGATCGGTAAAACCGCCACTCGGTCGCAAAGCCGGCTCGGAACAGTCTAAAAGCCGTTCCGATTTTATGTAGCGGTTGGTGAGCGGCCGAGGCAGTTAACCGTTCGAGTCGATCAAGCCGTTCGTCCGGTTTTTGCCATACAACCACTAAATTAAATTAAAGAAATTAGAAAATTGAAATAAACCAAAAACGTCGGGCTCTCAAACTGAATCATTATTTCCAGTTCACAATTTCGAAGGAAAGAGATGAGCTCTAATTAAGAAATATCCACTATTTATACTAATAACGTTATTAGGTACCGGTTCTCTAACGGCTTTTAAATGGTCTAATGCCGGTTGGACCACTAAAGTGCGAGCCGTTCGCATTACCGGGTCATGCTCCGGTTCGGTCCTGACAACATTGCTTTGACACTTCCTCCAATCATTCCTCTCGATTTGAACCAATAATCAATCTTTCAACTCTTTTTAGCCTGTTGAACCAGTGCAGTAAGCAGGTTGAGGATTAATGGTTCGATCGCTTTAGTCCGGACAAAAGTAGTTCACCCATGGTTAAATCAAGCTTAACACGTTGCTCCAACCCGAGCCTCCATTTGTGTTATGAAATAACCAAAAATTGTAAAACCATACCGAATGTCATACCGGAAAAATTAGCATCAGTGTATTTTGTGTTAAAATCGTAGTTCAAAAGTGGTTATATCAGGCTTGACACGTTGCTCCAACCCGATCATCCATTTATGTCCACAAAATACAAAAATTGTAAAACCAAACCTAATTTCATACTAGAAAAGTTAGCATTAGAGTATTATTTACTAAAATCGTAGTTCAATCGTGGTTAAATCATGTTTGACACGTTGCTCCAACCCGAGCCTTGATCTATATTCTATAAAAACTCAAATATTAAAACCATTCCAAAGGTTGTACCGGAAAAGTTAGCATTAGAGTATACTTTTCTAAAATCGTAATTCAATTATGGATAAACCAGACTTGACATATTGCTCCAACCGAGCCTCGATGTATGTGCAGGAAAGTTCGAAAATTGTAAAACCATATCGAAAGGTCGTACATGAAAAGTTAGCATAGGGTATTTTATGCTAAAATCATAGTTCAACCGTGGTTAAATAATTTCATAAACCTATCGATTTAGATTTTGTTAGTAGTTTTTCCATTAGAACGCTGCTAAACGCGGTACAAATCAAAGATGGGTTAACAAAAAATACATATAATCCTATGAGAACCCGTAGCGAAGCGCGGTACATAATCTACCTAGTTCTGGTAAAGCTTTAGTTTTTTTTTATATTATATTTCCTTATCTTTTATGATCTGAGTGGCCCATGGGGAATGATAGATTGGAAGAAGAGGGGAGAAATAGAGATAGAGGCTAGGAAGGAAGGGTAACTAGAGTAACAAGGCAAGGTATGGTTTTCCCTCCTTCCTCTCATTCCTTGAACTAGTGGGAAGGGGAAGGTTGGAAACCTTGAGGTTTATGAATGATCATGGGATAAGAATGATGAACCTAAGCAAAGGTAAGTAAGGCTTATGCATATGCAACTTGGGGTAGAAGTAATGGTATGAATTGATGACTTTAGTAGATTTAATGAGGTGTATGATGGAATTAGAGGTAGTGATGGCAATGAGGGCGGGTATCTCAATATCCATGCTCCTTCCCACGCTACTACAGGTTGGGGCGGGTAATACCTGTGCGGGTACGGGGCGGGTTCAAATTTTCATTAATTAGAGGTTAAACATGATTCATCGTTGGGTGGAGTATAGATACATAAGTAAAACAGGGCATATGTGTTCAAAATCTAATTTTGGATCTTCAACTTGGAATGAGTGTAAACTCTAAACCACGGGTTCAAAGGACTTGAATTTAGGATATGTTGTAGCCTTATGAATCTAGTTTAATTAGGAAAAAAGAATGGAACAATTTTGCTAAGAATTAAGGGAGAAATTATCACAATGGTGAATGAGGGTAAAATTACACGGGCACAACTATGAGTTTCCCGACCAGGGAATTTTTGAAGGGTGTTCCGCACTTCCGCTGGTTGGGGAGTCTAATCCTCGACTGGGGAATTAAGTCTCTTATTTCATACTGCTTGCTAGGCCAGGATCAGTAGCAACTAGTTAATTCCTTCCTCACGTTGGATTCGAGACGTTAGCAAAAAAAAGGACAATTTTTTCCAAAAACAAATGAGTTTCACATGCTCTAGCCTGGCCTGCGCGTGGTTAGGAAGATTGGCTCGGAGATTGTCTCCGGGGTGTTTCATGTCATAAAACCAGTTAGTACCAATAACTCGAGTTGTTAGGAGAAGGTTATGATGGATCTCATACCATTCTCTATTAGCCCCCTCAAACGAAAGTCAACCCAGGGGCTTGAAGTATGCACAAGCGATCACCATATCTTGTCCTTCAATCAACTAGGGTGGACCATGAGACGAGGAATCCAATATATCCACCAAACTATCTATCTAATCCAATACATTTGATCCAAATCCAATTGGATTAGTGGATTTATGGATTGATCTATGAATCCAAATGACAAATTACGGTTTGGTACCTATACCTTTTATACTTTACATTTTGGCTTCTAAAATTAATTTTTATACGAAAAATATCATTGAAATTTTATATTTTGGTACCTAAAAATTTTCATTATGACATTTTAGTACTTAAACATTTCAAATTTCACATTAGTAGTTAAGAATTGTCGTTTTGTATGTTATTTGGATGCATGGATCAATCCACCAATCCATTTGATCCATGGATCCACCAATTCAGGAATTCAATCCATTTGCCACCTCTATTCTTAACTAAGTCGAGCTTTGCCAGGAAGTAGTTATCCCTCGTAATAAATACCTTCTCTACACTGCACTCTGTTCGCTACACCTTTTTTTGTTACTTGCTCGCTGCTGCGACCGTTCTCGATCGAAAACTTCCGCAGCAAAATTTAAGAAAATTCAGTGATGTGCACGTATGGTGTATGGTTGTTCAGTTCTTGATGCCTTCGTATTCTACTCCTACACATAAAACAATCAAGTGGTGAATGAAAGAAAATTAGGGGGGTTCCTCTCTGATCTTACTCTGAGTCTGTTTTGCCAAAAGACAATATCGTGTCAAAAGCAAGATTGGGCTAGTCCTCCAGTAAATAATTTTCAACTCGAGTTAGGTGTAGTATTTATTTGGAATTCATTTGATGATTTGATCGTTCCAATATATCACTCTGATCCTTCATCAAATCATTTACTGTGGCTGAAAATTTTGGAAGACTCAGAAACGAAAAAGTCTTCAAGAAATAAACATTGATCATATCATTAATGACACTCCATAAGCCCAACAGAGATTTCTCCGAATGGAATATTACTCTACAAAGTAGCACTAGATATTGCCAAAGCTCCAGATCAACGCACGTTGAACCTAACCACATGCATGAATATAATTAAGGCACTTTTCATTCCGGACAAAACATAAAATGTACAATTAAATCACTGGAAAAAAAAAAAAAAAAACTGGATGACCGATACTATATCTTATAAGGGACTTTAACACTATGTTTCCGAAGGAAGGGAGGAAAAGGAGGGGAGGTGAAGAAAAATTAGGAGGGGAGGGGAGATTTGGAGGTGAAGGAAATTGGGAGGGAAATGCTGTTTTATGGAGGAAAGTGGGAAGAAAAGTGTGTATTGGGAATTGTGATAAATATGTTATTTTATTGGTTATGTAATAGAAAAATAATTTGATTGTATGTTAATATTCTATTAACTTATGAATTAAATTTGTACTTTCTTTCTAAATCGCACTAGAGATTGTACCAGAAAAAATATTGGTTGGGTATTTTATTCTAAAACCGTGATTTAACCACATCAATTATTTAAAAAATAGAGACTTTATAATAATTGGTCAAGCATTCTAAATTGATTAAATTTATTCAACTATTTTAATACGACTTTCACTAATGGTCCACTATTCTCATGAGTTTGGTGTAGTCCATACCGAACCGTTGCATATACCGAATAAGCCAAAGATTAATATTTTTGCTCAAAATCGTAATTTAATAGTGGTATCATAGTTTTATAAGAAACATTAAATATCTAGATATTTTTTAATAATCATAACTATCTTTT